TGACGGCGGTTCTGTGTGGGCGGTTCTGTGTGGGCGGTTCTGTGTGGGCGGTTCTGTGACGGCTGTTCTGTGACGGCTGTTCTGTGACGGCTGTTCTGTGACGGCGGTTCTGTGTGGGCGGTTCTGTGTGGGCGGTTCTGTGTGGGCGGTTCTGTGTGGGCGGTTCTGTGACGGCGGTTCTGTGTGGGCGGTTCTGTGACGGATGTTCTGTGACGGCTGTTCTGTGACGGCTGTTCTGTGTGGGCGGTTCTGTGTGGGCGGTTCTGTGTGGGCGGTTCTGTGTGGGCGGTTCTGTGACGGCGGTTCTGTGACGGCGGTTCTGTGTGGGCGGTTCTGTGTGGGCGGTTCTGTGACGGCGGTTCTGTGTGGGCGGTTCTGTGTGGGCGGCTCTGTGTGGGCGGCTCTGTGTGGGCGGCTCTGTGTGGGCGGTTCTGTGTGGGCGGTTCTGTGTGGGCGGTTCTGTGTGGGCGGTTCTGTGTGGGCGGTTCTGTGTGGGCGGCTCTGTGTGGGCGGTTCTGTGACGGTGGTTCTGTGTGGGCGGTTCTGTGTGGGCGGCTCTGTGTCGGTGGCTCTGTGTGGGCGGCTCTGTGTCGGCGGCTATGTGTGGGCGGCTCTGTGTGGGCGGTTCTGTGACGGCGGTTCTGTGTGGGCGGTTCTGTGACGGCGGTTCTGTGTGGGCGGTTCTGTGACGGCGGTTCTGTGTGGGCGGTTCTGTGACGGCGGTTCTGTGACGGCGGTTCTGTGTGGGCGGCGGTTCTGTGTGGGCGGTTCTGTGTGGGCGGTTCTGTGTGGGCGGTTCTGTGTGGGCGGTTCTGTGTGGGCGGCGGTTCTGTGTTGGCGGTTCTGTGTGGGCGGTTCTGTGTGGGCGGTTCTGTGACGGCGGTTCTGTGACGGCGGTTCTGTGTGGGCGGTTCTGTGTGGGCGGTTCTTCGACGGCGGTTCTGTGTGGGCGGTTCTGTGACGGCGGTTCTGTGTGGGCGGTTCTGTGTGGGCGGTTCTGTGACGGCGGTTCTGTGTGGGCGGTTCTGTGTGGACGGCTCTGTGTGGGCGGCTCTGTGTGGGCGGCTCTGTGTGGGCGGTTCTGTGTGGGCGGTTCTGTGACGGTGGTTCTGTGACGGCGGTTCTGTGTGGGCGGTTCTGTGTCGGTGGTTCTGTGTGGGCGGCTCTGTGTGGGCGGTTCTGTGACGGTGGTTCTGTGTGGGCGGTTCTGTGTGGGCGGCTCTGTGTCGGTGGCTCTGTGTGGGCGGCTCTGTGTCGGCGGCTATGTGTGGGCGGCTCTGTGTGGGCGGTTCTATGATGATGGTTCTATGATGGTGGTTCTATGATGATGGTTCTATTATAATGGTTTCATGATGGTGGTTCTATGATGGTGGTTCTTTGTCGGTGGTTCTATGATGATGGTTCTATGATGATGGTTCTATGATGATGGTTCTATGATGATGGTTCTATGATGGTGGTTCTATGATGGTGGTTCTATGATGATGGTTCTTTGTCGGTGGTTCTTTGATGGTGGTTCTATGATGGTGGTTCTATGATGATGGTTCTATGATGGTGGTTCTATGATGATGGTTCTGTGTTGGTGGTTCTATGATATGGCTCTATGATGGTGGTTCTATGATGGTGGTTCTATGATGATGGTTTTATGATGGGGGTTCTATGATGGTGGTTCTATGATGGTGGTTCTATGATGATGGTTCTTTGTCGGTGGTTCTATGATGGTGGTTCTATGATGGTGGTTCTATGATGATGGTTCTATGATGGTGGTTCTATGATGGTGGTTCTATGATGGTTGTTCTATGATGGTTGTTCTATGATGGTGGTTCTATGATGGTGGTTCTATGATGGTGGTTCTATGATGATGGGTCTATGATGGTGGTTCTATGATGGTGGTTCTATGATGGTGGTTCTATGATGATGGTTTTATGATGGTGGTTCTATGAGGATGGTTCTATGATGGTGGTTCTATGATGATGGTTCTGTGGCGGTGGTTTTGTGGCGGTGGTTCTGTGATGATGGTTCTATGATGATGGTTCTATGATGGTGGTTCTATGATGGTGGTTCTGTGGCGGTGGTTCTGTGGCAGTGGTTCTATGATGGTGGTTCTATGATGGTGGTTCTATGATGGTGGTTCTGTGGCGGTGGTTCTATGATGGTGGTTCTATGATGGTGGTTCTATGATGGTGGTTCTATGATGATGGTTCTATGATGGTGGTTCTATGATGGTGGTTCTATGGCGGTGGTTCTGTGGCGGTGGTTCTATGATGATGGTTCTATGATGGTGGTTCTATCATGGTGGTTCTGTGGCGGTGGTTCTGTGGCAGTGGTTCTATGATGGTGGTTCTATGATGATGGTTCTGTGGCGGTGGTTCTATGATGGTGGTTCTATGATGGTGGTTCTATGATGATGGTTCTATGATGGTGGTTCTATGATGGTGGTTCTATGATGGTGGTTCTGTGTCGGTGGTTCTATGATGGTGGTTCTATGATGATGGGTCTATGATGATGGTTCTATGATGATGGTACTATGATGATGGTTCTATGATGATAGTTCTATGATGATGGTTCTATGATGGTGGTTCTATGAGAATGGTTCTATGAGGATGGTTCTATGATGGTGGTTCTATGGCGGTGGTTCTGTGGCGGTGGTTCTGTGATGATGGTTCTATGATGGTGGTTCTATGATGGTGGTTCTGTGGCAGTGGTTTTATGATGGTGGTTCTATGATGGTGGTTCTATGATGGTGGTTCTGTGGCGGTGGTTCTATGATGGTGGTTCTATGATGATGGTTCTATGATGGTGGTTCTATGATGGTGGTTCTATGGCGGTGGTTCTGTGGCGGTGGTGCTATGATGATGGTTCTATGATGGTGGTTCTATGATGGTGGTTCTGTGGCGGTGGTTCTGTGGCAGTGGTTCTATGATGGTGGTTCTATGATGATGGTTCTGTGGCGGTGGTTCTATGATGGTGGTTCTATGATGATGGTTCTGTGGCAGTGGTTCTATGATGGTGGTTCTATGATGATGGTTCTATGATGGTGGTTCTATGATGGTGGTTCTATGATGGTGGTTCTGTGTCGGTGGTTCTATGATGGTGGTTCTATGATGATGGGTCTATGATGATGGTTCTATGATGATGGTTCTATGATGATGGTTCTATGATGGTGGTTCTATGATGGTGGTTCTGTGTCGGTGATTCTATGATGGTGGTTCTATGATGATGGTTCTATGATGATGGTTCTGTGGCGGTGGTTCTGTGGCAGTGGTTCTGTGGCAGTGGTTCTATGATGGTGGTTCTATGATGATGGTTCTATGATGGTGGTTCTATGATGGTGGTTCTATGATGATGGTTTTATGATAGTGGTTCTATGATGGTGGTTCTATGATGATGGGTCTATGATGTTGGTTCTATGATGATGGTTCTATGATGATGGTTCTATGATGGTGGTTCTATGAGGATGGTTCTATGATGGTGGTTCTATGATGGTGGTTCTGTGGCGGTGGTTCTGTGGCGGTGGTTCTATGATGGTGGTTCTGTGGCGGTGGTTCTGTGATGATGGTTCTATGATGATGGTTCTATGATGGTAGTTCTATGATGGTGGTTCTATGATGGTGGTTCTATGATGATGGTTCTGTGGCGGTGGTTCTATTATGGTGGTTCTATGATGATGGTTCTATGATGGTGGTTCTATGATGGTGGTTCTATGATGGTGGTTCTGTGTCGGTGGTTCTATGATGGTGGTTCTATGATGGTGGTTCTATGATGAGTGTTCTATGATGATGGGTCTATGATGATGGGTCTATGATGGTGGTTCTATGATGATGGTTCTATGATGGTGGTTCTATGATGGTGGTTCTGTGTCGGTTGTTCTATGATGGTGGTTCTATGATGGTGGTTCTATGATGATGGTTCTATGATGGTGGTTCTATGATGGTGGTTCTGTGGCAGTGGTTCTATGATGGTGGTTCTATGATGATGGTTCTATGATGGTGGTTCTGTATCGGTGGTTCTATGATGGTGGTTCTATGATGGTGGTTCTATGATGATGGTTCTATGATGGTGGTTCTATGATGATGGTTCTATGATGGTGGTTCTATGATGGTGGTTCTGTATCGGTGGTTCTATGATGGTGGTTCTATGATGGTGGTTCTATGATGGTGGGTCTATGATGGTGGTTCTATGATGGTGGTTCTATGATGATGGTTCTATGATGATGGTTCTATGATGATGGTTCTATGATGGTGGTTCTATGATGATGGTTCTATGATGGTGGTTCTGTGTCGGTGGTTCTATGATGGTGATTCTATGATGGTGGTTCTATGATGATGGTTCTATGATGGTGGTTCTAAGATGGTGGTTCTGTGGCGGTGGTTCTGTGGCGGTGGTTCTTTGGCAGTGGTTCTATGATGGTGGTTCTATGATGATGGTTCTGTGGCAGTGGTTCTATGATGATGGTTCTGTGGCGGTGGTTCTGTGGCAGTGGTTCTATGATGGTGGTTCTATGATGGTGGTTCTATGATGATGGTTCTATGATGGTGGTTCTATGATGGTGGTTCTATGTCGGTGGTTCTATGATGATGGTTCTATGATGATGGTTCTATGATGGTGGTTCTATGATGATGGTTCTATGATGGTGGTTCTATGATGATGGTTCTATGATGATGGTTCTATGATGATGGTTCTATGATGGTGGTTCTATGATGATGGTTCTGTGACGGTGGTTCTGTGGCAGTGGTTCTATGATGGTGGTTCTATGATGGTGGTTCTATGATGATGGTTCTATGATGGTGGTTCTATGATGATGGTTCTATGATGGTGGTTCTATGATGATGGTTCTATGATGATGGTTCTATGATGGTGGTTCTATGATGGTGGTTCTATGATGGTGGTTTTTTGTCGGTGGTTCTATGATGATGGTTCTATGATGGTGGTTCTGTGTCGGTGGTTCTATGATGGTGGTTCTATGATGGTGGTTCTATGATGGTGGTTGCAGTTCTCCTCACCATGCCCTGTGCAACCTGCAGCTCCATCTCCAGAGACTGCAGCCTCCGTCTCTCCTCGGTCACTTCGCTCTTGGTCTCCTGCAGCGTTGTTGACTGAGAGACCACCTCTTTGTTCAGCGTCTCCGTCTGCAACGATACACAAAGGTTTATGTTTCTAAACAGATTAGGACTTTACATCCAGTGACGTTCATTTTTAGCTGTAGCTGTTGTGCCATATGCCATGATCCTTCTTTCTGGACACTGGGAACCAGCTCCCATATTTCATCTTGACAGGATGAGCAGAGGAGAAAACGCAGCTTTGGTGAATAACAGCTGGGGGATTTCTGCAGCCCCCCCTTTTCAGCCACATAGCATTCACAGGCAAGTCACATGGCAGCCCCCAGAGGTGTGAAAAACTACCCCCTCCCTGTGAGGACACAACAAAACCACAGAGAAAACCACATTCTCTCCTCTTTGCCTCCTCTCCCTTGGCCAGGAAGCTGGGGTCCGCTTTGGCCTTTGGCTGGTTCTCCACCACAGTGGAGATGTGGGCCTCAGGGGAACCAGATCTCCAGAAACTTCAACCTACAACTTAACCTTTCAGAACCAAACTACTGCAAAACAGACGTTTTGCAACACATTTCTCTTGAGTTTCAGAACGTATAGAGCCAGACTGGATGAGGACCATGCCCTGGGTGTGAGACTGAGACTAAGAACCCCTGCTGTGCCCTGACTGCTGAGCTGCAGGTGGATGAACTCAAGCTTCCAACTGGACATGGACAAAAAGGTTTGCAGGTCTGGCATGATTAGGGACAGAACAAACATGTGTTTACTGATGAGTAAAGTCAAGCTAACAGGATGGACTGCATGCTACGCTATGCTACAGGAATATGTGTTGAGCTGTTGCTGAAGCTTAGACGAGCTTTATTCACTAAGAGTTTAAACACTGATATAACATTAGTGTTCAGGTGTTCCTCGGATGATATTTACATTTCTATTAGCAAGTCTGACCAACAAATAATCCATCTTAAACTGTAATATGGTTTTCAACCATTCTCCCCTTCTTCTTTGTACATAGTAGTTTAGTTGAGTTGAGTTTTACTAGTCTTAGTTAAGAGTGTTAAACTGAAATATGTTTGACTTGGAGCTGAATGATTTTTGTTAATAAACTCTTATATTTTGAACAGAAGTTGGGGTGAATTTATTCCATGTATGTGCAGAAATAACTGTTTGACCATGATTAGTGCTCGAATCACTCTTTCATCTATTGTTCTAACACACAGTTAGTAGGACTGTGTGTCATAAACAGTATATAACAGTTGAAATAATATCTGATTAAATAAGATATTTTACCACCCCTACAGGGGAGGGCAATAAACATCCTAAAGTATCAGAAATATAAATTTCCAGGTGGCTGGGATTTGAAAAGAACATAAAATCCTGACACTGCATTTATCATTAACCCTGACCTTAACCTTGATCTTAATCGTGACCTTAACCCTAATTTTAACCCTGACCTTAGTCTTTGCCTTACCCCTGATCTTCACCTAAAGTTAATTCACGCTATGACTCTTAAAAGGGACCCGCCACGTTTGGAACGTAACGTTCTCTAGGCCCGCTGGTCCTCCAACCGTTGGTAAGGACACCATAAAAGCTGTATCCACATCAACCAGCACACACACACACACAGACTCATTCAGTGTTTGCTTTCACTCCTGATCTGAGCACAGGAAGTGATGTCACAGCAGCTTACCTTGGTCTGAAACCAGTTCTCCAGCTCTTTGTGGTTCTTGGCGGCCACGGCCTCGTAGTGCTCCCTGATCTCCTCTATGACCTTGGTGAGGTCCTGGGCCGGGGCGGCGTCCACCTCCACATGGACCTGACCGCTCATCTGGGCTTTGGTGGAAACCAGCTCCTGCACACACACACACACACACACACACAGACCTTCAGCACCAAGAACTTCTTCAGACGCACTGATCAGCTGCTCTCAGGAAGCAAGGAGCAGATTTCCCAAATGCTCACCTCCTCGTGGTTTTTCTTCAGGTAGATCAGCTCCTCTTTCAGACCCTCGATCTGCATCTCCAGGTCCGACTTGGACAGAGTCAGCTCGTCCATCAGCCTCCTGAGCCCGGCAATATCGGCCTCCACCGACTGACGCATGGCCAACTCGGTTTCATACCTGCAGGAGGAGCAGATGAGATGTTTCATGTGATTAAGACAAACATCTAAATGGGTCGGAGGAGCGAAGGACTCACTTGATCCTGAAGTCATCTGCTGCCAAGCGAGCGTTCTCGATGCTCAGGTTGACGGCTCCATTCACCCTGAAGGCCTCCTGGATCTGCAGACAGAAGGTCTGAAGTTACTCCTCTGGATTCAACAGGTGAGCTCAGAAGATGCTGATCCTCCAACCAGAACTATCTGAAGTTCAGGGTGTTAAACTTTCTATGAACTCAAAATTTATTATCAGATGTAAAAAAATAAAGCTGGAAGTGAAGAAAAGAAGAAGAACCAAAACAACACAGAGTTGCTGGTTCTCAGTGAAGGAAAAATCCAGGTTTGACCTCAGGAGGTGTGAAGACTTTAGGCGTGAGAAGAGGTAGATCTGAAAACGGAAATAGAAGAAGAAAAACAAAGGAAACGTGTAGAGGAGAGCAATGATGGAGAAGTATGACTGGAGCCAACCAAGTAAAGTGATAAATCCACGTAAAGTGATAAATCCAAGTAAAGTGATACGTGGTGTGCAGAAATAGTGCATTGACATTTATGCACTATTTCTGCACGCCACATATCACTTTACTTAGATTTATCACTTTACTTGGATTTTCACTTTATTTGGATTTAGTTTTTACATATGCATAGATATAAATACAGATAGATATACAGAAGAGCTATATATTTTATCTCTTTTTATTCTTATTTTTTAATCTTTATTATATTGTATAGTTGGATGTGTGAATATATTATGTAAAACTGTAACTGGAGCGTGTAACAAAAGTAATTTCCCTCTGGGATTATTAAAGTATTTCTGATTCTGATTCTGATCATGGTCATCTGGTGACGGTTCAGCCGTCAAGAAGGTTTGACTCAGGATCAGGGGCGGTTCTAGGACCAGAGGTTCAGGGGGGCTGAGCACCCAGAGAGCTGTCGTTCCAGGCTAGATTCATTTCACTGTTTTTCTACAGATTTTTGAAACATGTTCAGTGCGTTTTGCTAATGACTGACTCCATCGTTCACTAATGCATCGTATCTGAGACATGAGCCAAAAACCCAATAAACAAAGCAAAGAGCAGCATTTTTTAGAAGAATTTCCAACCAATTAAACCTTTAAAATCAACTCATTTCATGGAAACCTTTAAATCAGTTTTCATGAAATGACTTTTCTCTTTTTTGCCAAAATTACTTCCATAATATATATAAAATAATCTACTCAATGAAATGTTTTTCTTTGCCACTTTCTTTGCTATTCTGTCTGTTTTCTTACCTGATTTTTCTGACCTTTCACTTTGCTCACACTTCGCTCCTCTGCCCCCCCTTTACACCCCTCCCTCTTTAAACAGGCAATCATAAAATGGATTAAAACTTCAAATAACTAAAAACTGAAAAAATTACAAAGATTTACTAACGATTCAGAAAATGTAAATATTGAAATTGAGTTGCGTTTTAAAGATAATCAAACAAACAGTCTGAGACACATTAGAGCATCTCGCTGGTGAACATTTCACCAACTCACCATCAATAGGTGCAGAAATCTGACTGAACATTTCAGAAACACCTGAACGCAGCGTTTCCGCTAGGCGTTGCTCAACATTAAGGTTTAGGAGCTTCATCAGGCTTGTTTACTTGTTTTTTTGTTTGCTTATTATTATTTCTGATGAACCAGAACATAAAGAGTTAAATAACCAAATACTGTAGAGTTTTTACATAGTTTGTTTCTCATTGTAAAAAGCGCATACAGTATTAAGATAGTTTTAGTGGTGCTTTGATTCAAATGCTTCAGCAGCCCTAAAAATGGCCATGATGAAGGTGATGATGGATCTGTGCACCTTTCTTCAAACATGTCAGTGCAGATCTGCTCTGTGTGCTTCAGAACCTGCTTAAACTCCAGCAGGAGGACCTTTCTTCTCAGGCATCCTGCCTTTAAGGTGATGAACATTCCACAGTTTGCTCAGGGTCCTCCTCACCTTCTCTGTTATCTCGCTGATGGAGGTGAAGGAGCCGCTGTAGTCCCGGGCGGAGGGCCCCACCTTGCTCTCCACAAACCCCCTGATCTTCTGCTCCAGCTCAGCGTTGGCCTTCTCCAGCTTGCGTACCTTGTCCAGGTAGGTGGCGAGGCGATCGTTCAGGTTCTGCATGGTGAACTTCTCGTTCCCAACCAAGTTGTCCTCCATGCCGGATGCGCTGAAGCTCATCTGGGAGGAGAAGCCTCCTCCACCACCGCTGCCCATAGAGAAGAAGCCTCCACCTCCACCCATGGAGGACCTTCCACTACCCAGGGAGGAGGCAGAGGAGATCCGAACCCCTGAGCCCCCGGCTCCTCCGTACACGCTGCCGGCCCTCATGGAGTAGAAACCTCCATCTCCCCCCAAGCCGCTGGAGGAGCGGATGGAGCGGGACATGAAGGTGGAGGTCATGATGGATGCTGCGTTCCTGCTGCTGCTGAAGGAGACAGGGAGGAGAGTGAGGAGCAGAGAGAAGGTACTCCTTTTAAAACCCCCGCAGGAGGCGAGGCTCCTGGAATGAGAGGAGCTGGGCGTGAAGGTGACCTTTAACCAGACCTGTTCCAACAGAATCCAAAGCTGCAAGCTGTTCACAGAAAATGCAAATTGAAAGCTAAAGCGTCGGAAAAACTCAGCCGTCTTCTGTGGAATGTCAGCGTCTAGCCTGGAGGTCCGAGGAAAGTTCAGAGAGCTGTGCCCCAAAACTGCACCTCCATTTTCTCCTCTCAGTACCTTAAGCAGCAACCGTTATCTGAATCCTTATCTGTAATTTGGATGAAGATCCAGAGGAGGTCTGTTTCCCTAAAGGTCTCTGAGATGTGGAGGACTACAGCAAAATAAGTATTTGAACACTCATTTAGAAATCACAGAGGGTCTGAAATTGTCATCGTAGCTGCAGGTCCTGTTAGTACGGAGCCCCTAAAAAGACATCGAGGGAAAAAATAAACTTTTGCGAGATCCCGCAAAACTTTTGCAAGATCTCACAAAAAATAAACTTTTGCGAGATCTCACAATACTTTTGCAAGATCTCTCAAAAGTATTGTGGGATCTCTGAAAAGTATTGCGAGATCTCGCAAAAGTATTGCGGGATCTCGCAAAAGCATTGCGAGATCTCTCAAAAGTGTTGCGAGATCTCTCAAAAGTATTGCGGGATCTCGTAAAAGTATTGCGTAATCTCGTAAAAGTATAGCGGGATCTTGCAATACTTTTGAGAGATCTTGCAAAAGTATTGCGAGATCTCTCAAAAGTATTGCGAGATCCCGCAATTCTTTTACGAGATTTCGCAATACTATTGTGGGATCTCGCAAAAGTATTGCGAGATCCCGCAATACTTTTACGAGATCTCGCAAAAGTATATTTTTTGTGAGATCTCGCCAAAGTATTGCAGGATCTTGCAAAAGTATTGTGAGATTTCGCAATACTATTGCGGGATCTCACAAAAGTATTGCGAGATCCAGCAATACTTTTGAGAGATCTCGCAAAAGTATAGTGGGATTTTGCAAAAGTATTGCGACATTTCACAATACTATTGCGGGATCTCACAAAAGTATTGAGAGATCCCGCAGTACTTTTGAGAGATCTCGCAAAAGTATATTTTTTGTGAGATCTCGCCAAAGTATTGCAGGATCTTGCAAAAGTATTGCGAGATTTCGCAATACTATTGCGGGATCTCACAAAAGTATTGCGAGATCCAGCAATACTTTTGAGAGATCTCGCAAAAGTATAGCGGGATCCTGCAAAAGTATTGCGAGATTTCGCAATACTATTGCGGGATCTCACAAAAGTATTGCGAGATTTCCCACTACTATTGCGGGATCTCACAAAAGTATTGCGAGATCTCGCAATACTTTTGAGAGATCTCGCAAAAGTATTGCTGGATCTTGGAAAAGTATTGCGGGAAAGGTGGACATGGTCAGTATTGACAGAAGTTTAAATAGGAACCAACCCCTGAGGGGTAGATTGCTATATCAGATCTTCTCCATGAAACGAGGAGCCCTGAACCAGATCTGAGGCTCATTAAGGCTGGGTTTTGTGGTTCGGTCCACCTGATGAGCTGCTGTAACTGTAATCGCTGCAGAACTTCTAAGAGTCACAACAGACTGAACATCATAGTGAATAGTAAATGGTAAATGTCCTGTACTTATATAGCGCTTGACCAAAGTGCTTTACGCTACATTCACCAATTCACACACACACTGATGATGGCACATCTTGGTCACAGCCACATCTCCATGAAGCAGAAGTTCAAAGCACAGCTGGTTTCTTGGAGTCTGGTTACGTTTGAGGCGCCAAATTGAGCTTAAGATTTCTTCCTGTTCACAGGGAGCATTTTTTCCCCTCATCCTAATGAAACCTAATAATTTGTGACAAAGCGAGTTTAGCAATATGACATTTTCTGACCACCATAATCAGACTTTGTGGGACTGTGGAGAAAAACAGAAGTTTTTATCATCCTCAGCCTCTTTATCCTTCTTGAAGCAGGTGGGAATATTCCTGGTTTGATGTATCCTGATCCAATTAATCAGGATTTATTTTACTTGCTTTTGCATTTTTTAATTGTCTGGAATCAGACGGAGCGATAAAATAAAAGTCAACTAGAAACGGTCTTTCTTGGTAAAACAGAGAGAATCCAGGAAACGGTTGAAAGTGAGCAGAAGGTCAGTCAGACCCAGTTCTTCCAGTTCTTTCATTTTCTTTAAAAAGTGGATTAGTTCTTCTTATTGTTTTTATCCTTGAACATGAGGTTGACTTTCACAGAAAGCCTGATGGTTCATGTTGATGTTAGGGGATTAGAAATGTCTCTACCTGCAGCTGTTTCCATCCCCCCCTTCATGAAAGTCTACACCCAGTTATGAAAGACTCATCTTTCACTACTGGAGACGTTGACGCCTCAATCAGGACCACAGATGCAGATCAGCTTCCTGACTCTGACCCCTAAAACCCTCCCTGATGCTTTTCATTCCTGACTCTGCCAGTTTTGACATGCCTCCACACCAAGCTGTCATCCTCCTGGATATTTTAGGATTCACTTAACTCCTTCATTTTCCTTTGCAGTCAGCACACCTGTCAGAGCTTTGACAGTCCTTTAGGGGGACAGGTGAATGGGATGCTACCTGCAGGGGTAGAATGGGGAGGAGGTGTAATGAAACCTGCAGAGACATCCTTAGGGCTGCAATTCAATAATCCATCACTGCAGCCTTGCTGAATGAGGCACTTTTATGGCTGAAGGGGAAATGTAATCATAACTGAGCAAAGCGATGGAGTTTGTTTGTTGCCTGATTGGTTCATATTAGCTCTGCAGATGTGGGTCCATGAGCCACACATCCCCATGCAGCCTGTTGGTCTGCTGCTCCTTCAGAACCCAAACCTTTGGACCGTCTCCAGACGCCTTATCATGGCTTCTCCAGTCATTTGCATCAGCTACTGTTTCAGGTCTCTTCAGATGCATCTGCACTCTGCGAGACCCAAACCCACGAAAACAGCAATAACTCTCAGCTTTTGTACGACTTTAAAAATGGCTGAAAAACAGAATTATAAATTGTCAGATGTCTTGTGGACAGTAACGACGGGCTAGCTTTCAGGCTCATATGTTCTAATGAAGAGAAGGCTGAGGAAGCGACATGGACCCAGTGGCTACAATATGCAGCAACTGGTTGAACAAATGATTTAAAACAAACGAACCTCTGAGATAACAATAAAGTTGTCATGATTTTATCTAAAGCTCGGACCCACATGCAGTGAAACCAGAGAGACACAGATGAAAAGTTTAACAGGTTTTATTGAAGAGATTAAGCACGGTGCAGTGTTGCTCTGAACTCTGCTCTGCCGTAACTGGAAGGTGAGGGGAAGACAGACTATTAGTTCAGGCTCAGTGGGAAATTTCATTTGTTGATTTGAAGAAGAGGATCTGGTTGTTGACTCACGTTTCCAGAGAAGTGAAGGATCTTTGACTCCAATCTGTGAGTTGTTTTCCAGGGTTTGTCTGATTCGGTGGAGGGCGGACAGGGTTTACCCAGAACTAGGACGGTGTAGGAGAACCGAGATGCTGATTGCTACTCAGATTTCCTGCTGTACTTGAACGGGTCGTGGTGAAGATGATTCCCTTGCTCAGACATCCTCTCAAGGAGACTGGATCCAAACCTCCTGTTTGAATCCCCGGCTCAGTTTAAGGCTCAGTTGATCCCTCCTGGGAGTGGAGGTCCAAAAAGGTCCAGTTTGCAGGATGACTTCCAAAAACTGGCAAACACTCTGGCGTCGAGGTAGTGGCAGTCAGCAGCTTAAGAGCACTCCGTTAACGAGGTAACCGTCAGCAGGTGTGTGAGGAGGCGGACCGGAACCAGGCGCCTCCTGCTGGTGGAAGGGAGAACAACACAAAAACAAACACACAGACTGGAGCCTTGACAAAAGTTGTGGTTTGTGTCACTTGTTGACAAGCAGCAGAGACCCCACCATAAGCGGCAGGAGCAAAGGTGGGGGACTCCCAGTTCTAGTCAACAACCGATGGTGCAACCCCACCCACATCACCATCCAAGAGCGTCTCTGCGACCTGAACATTGAACTTTATGCTGTTTGACTACGACCATACTGTCTGCCCAGACGGAACCACAGTGGCTGTTTATGCCCCCCCTCTACCAACCCGACATCGGCGAGTGACTCCGTCCCCTCAGCCTTAGCCCGGCTACAGACTCAACACCTGAGTGCATGGACATAACTCTAGGGGGGGACACAGGGGACATGTCACCTGCATTTTTTCAGAAGTCAGTTTTGGTCCCCTTCAACTTTTACTTTCCAAAAAACAATGTTACGCCTCCATCTTTCCTTGTGTGATTGGCTGAAAACTTTCCAGGAGCATTTTATAAGGTGCAGGTGGGCCTAATCAACTTCCTGATTGGCTTGACAATCCTCTGCTGGCCAATCATGTCACTGCACCTCTGCAGTCTTCAGGCAGCCAACAAGGAAGATCTGTCAGAGCTGAACCTGCATAAGAAAACCAGCCTGCACAGTCTTAAAAGGCCAGGGGCCGTAACACCACTGTCACTCCTGAAAAGCTCACTTTATGCGCCACTGAATCGGGTCTGTGAAGAACTTGGTCTGCAAACAGATAGTGGAGGAGTCTGCTTTAAGTCGGGCATTTGTTTGCATTTGTTCCTCGCTTTGGTCATAGAATCTAAAATGATTTGTGTATTAATTTACTTAAATCTTTAAATTAGTCTAATGTGGCATGTGTTTTTGCACTGCAAAAAATCTAAATCTAGATAAGTAATTTTTTCTTCAAATAAGTGCATTTGTTCTTGAATTGAAAAGGTAAAAGAAACATTTTGCCAATGGAACAAGACAATTTACACTTAAAGTAAGAAAACACAACTGCATTGTCTTATTTGAAGTGCATATTATCTAATTATCTTATTTTAAGAGTAAAATTACTCTTTCC